GACATTTCGTCTATGTGACTACCATAGAAAACCAGCAACCAGCCCTGCCAGATACTTTTTATTCTGCTTTATTTTACCCATTTTCATTACCATATAACATAGTCCAACTTATCATTAATTCTAACATGCACTTTCCTTCACATTGTAAGATGAATTTTAATTTTAGAAATGTTAAGATCAATAAGGTTCTACTATTTTTGACCGCCAGGTGGCAGTCACCAGGTGTCACCTGCACAACTTTAAAAATAGCTGTTCTTAAACTCTTAAATTAGGCACGCTGAAGTTAGGCATGATGTCCGCCCTACCTGTGCTGAGTTTAATTGCCATTTAAAATATCTCTCTGGGTTTAAATTGAAACAAACAAACAAACAAAAACCCTGTATATAATACCTACCAAATTTTTAAATTCAAAAGGTTAAAAAAGCAGCAAGTGATTACAACAATGTGGAGTAACCCAGTACTCTCAAAGACTGCTGGCGAGAGTGTAAATGAAACAAGAATTTGGAAAAGCTATTTGGCAATATATACTAAAGTGGATCATATGAATATTCCCTGCAGGTCCACTCCTAGATACGTATCATATTAACAGAAATATACACATAGGTTCAAGCAACAGATATACACGAGAATGTTCACAGCAGCACTACTCATATTAGCTCAAAAACTAGAAACTAACCAAATGCCCATCAACAGAAGAAGGGATAAATTCTGGTACATTCACACAATGCAATATTATAGACTAAACAAACTACAAATATACCCACAATATGAATGACTCTTAAATACACAGTTGAGACTCTTTCAATATAAAGTGCAAGTCAGACACAAAGGAGTCCATACTGTATGATTTCATTTCTGTAAAGCTTAAAAGTAGGTAAAATTAATTTATGATGTTAAGTCAGGACAGTAGCAGTAACTGAAGTAGGCATGAGGGGCCTTCTCGGGCACTAAAAATACTCTCTTTCTTGACCTGGATGCTGGTTATACCAGTATATTCAATTTCAGAAAATTCATCAAGTTGTATATTTAAGAACTGTAAACCCTTCTTTATGTATGTTAAACTTTAATAAAAAGTATTAAGTTTTTGTGTGGGCAAAAAGGCACAGATATAAAGCAACAAAACATGAATTTGGTATTAGAGAAGCAAATATTTGTCAATGAAGAGAAAACCTCAACCATCCTTTTCTATAAGACTAAATGAAATTCCCACAGATTGATAAAGTATACTTATATTTTGTTACTGAGATACAAAAGAGTCCCATCACAGGTCAAGCAATATACCTCCCCTAAAGGAAGGAAAGACTGCTAAATAAGTATCTTGGAATGGGTAAAAGAAATTTCAAAGTAACAAGAGGCTCGGAAGAGCGAATCACAACTCATTCAGGACTATTACGAAGGCCCTGTGTTTTGATTTAATTAGAAATGTTTATTTTTCTTGGTGAACATAAATTAATGGTAAATCTTAGAAATAACTTGGCTTAGGCTATTTTCTTTTCTTACTTGTTTGCCAAATACAAGCCATGCACAATGGCTACGGAGGTTATAAAGATGAAGCATACAGGTCCCTGCCTTTTTAAGGTTATCATATATATTAAAGAAGCTAAGACAACCGTATGAACAGTTATTATACTGCTTTAGGATGGTACAAGCGGTATAAGTACAAAGTTCTTTGTTTTTTGTTTTTTAAAGATTTTTACTTACTTAGAGAGGGAGAGAGTAGGGGCAGGGCATAGGCAGAGAGAGAGAGAGAGAATCTCAAGCAGACTCCATACTGAGCACAAAGCCCCAGACAGGGCTCGATCCCCTGACCTGAGCTGAAATCAAGAGCCAGTCCCTTAACCAACTGAGCCACCCAGGCACCCCCAAAGTTTTGTTTTTTCAAAGCACACAAAAAGGGAAACCTCTTCCTGCTAATGTTACAGATTGTAAGAAAGCTCTTCAGAAGCATCCAGAACCATGCTATCCAATACAATATCCATTAGCCACTGGTGGCTATTTAAATTAAAATTAAATAAAAGTAAAACTTTAGGTCTCCAGTATTACTTCACCACGTTCTAAGTGCTCAGCAGCCACATGTGGGCAGTGGCGGACGTACCAGGCAGAGCAGAGAACTCTGGCAGCATGCAGCACTCATCTGCAGGACCCAAGAGTTAGAAAGATGCAAGGGATAGGCACATATGGACAATTCAATCTTTGGACGAAAACATTCTTTTTAACCTTGTGTCCATTTTCCATGTTTCCTTTGACATCATAATGGCAAAAGCAGCCACTCTGGTCTGGGGACCAAGCTAAAAATATAAAGCTAGAGAAAAGAGATGAAGCCTTGAAGTTATAGGAGTAAAAAAAGAATACAAGCTCACCAGAGTCCAACTTAGTTCACCAGAGTGAAAATTTATCCAAAGCTTCAGCTAAAAATAAATGAAGCATTATGCTGCCTAATCTTTAATAGCTAATTAAGGATTGGGGGTTCAGGATATAACTTACAAGTCAGTCAATAAACATATTTAATGGAGGAATCCATTCATTAAGAAACACTTGCTGAGCACCTTCTATGTGCCAAGCACAAATGGCAACCAGGAGGAATAAGAGCATTTAAATCACTAACTCTATTCAGCAAATATCACAACAGCTTAAGAATCACCAACTCCTAAGCAGGGAAAAAAACCAACAAATTTTGCTCATCCATGGTTCTTCAGAAACAGCAAGCAGGGAGGTAATAATGTGCCATCTCCAGCATATTCTCTGAAGGTTGTTGACTCCTGTGGTGCTCAATGCCCATTAATCTGAACCAGTCACAATGATTTAGCAAAAAACAAAGAAGGAAGAGTCCTTTCCAAAACAAAAGAAAAAATGAACGGCAGTTTATCAAACCTATATTAAACTATAAAAGAAAGAAAAGAATCCTTGCCAGAAAGATCATAATCTCAAAGAATATTCTTAAAAGGAAACATAAATCAACATTTATCCAACAACTCCCAAGAAGTACACTGGGAGCTAGAGGGACATAAAGATATTCAAGCAGTCTCCTGACCTCCAAAAGCTGTCATCTACTTTGGGAGAGGAAACCGTTCATGAACAATCACAATGGACACAAACGCTCCAAGTGGGATCCCCAGGAAACAACTACAGGACAAACTGTAACCTGAAAGGACCTTCGAAGTCTTCTGTCCAAATCTCTCCCTTGTCTGATATCCATTCTACAATATTTTTATAAAACACTTATTCAACCTAAGTACACCAGGGATGAAGATATCAAAACCTCACAGACATTTCAGAAGCAACAAAAGACAGGAGCCAAAAAGAGTTGAAAAGTTAACATTCAAAGAGATGGTGTTTAGAAATAGGAACTTGAAAGTCAAGTGAATAGCAAGTAAATACAATACAATAAGGCAGGCCAATACACTAAAGTAGAACTATTAGCAAAGGGTCCACTATGACACAAATCCAGAGAAAAAGCAATGGGATGGTGTAAAACCATTCCCAACTAGACTTTTGACTATCAAAAGGGGGGTAGAATAAATCAAGGTGAAATTCTATTCTATCTTCGCCTGCAACCACCCACTCTTCCCCAGCTCTCCGTGGTCTGTAGGACACTTCTATTTTCACCTGAGCCAGGGGAGGAAGAGAAACTAATATTGACTCATTGGCTACTATGTGTCAGGTATGGTGCTAGTCATTTAATATATGTAGAACAAGAGCTGTACTGGTGATTGGAGCTCCTCAGAAACAGGCTCAAGGAAACTGTCTGGCCTAGGATCCAAACTTATTATTCTATTTTAGAGACATTTAGAAGGCAGCTTGATAAAGAGGAAAGAGTAGCAGAGACCTGAAGACAGAGGTCTGAACTTTGGATCTGGCCCTACAGTTATGTGACTACAAAAGTCTGGATGTCAGTTCCTTAAGACCTACCTCATCTCCTTACACGTTGTTCTAAGGATCAAAATGGAACACATATGTAAAAGGATTCTGTAAACATAACACATCACTGATATCCATTTATTCATCTAACAAGTATATACTGAGTATCTATACTATTCTAGACTCTAGGCAAGGTCCCTGCTTTCATGGAACTTATGTTCTAGTAGGTGGGAGACAGGTAATCAACACAAACAAATGAATGAACAAGAGTTTCCAAGAGTGATGAATGCTCTAAAGAAAATAAAACAGGTGACGTAAAAAAAGAGTGACCAGGAGAAAGGGAACCACTTTCAATGGAATAGTCACAGAAGACCTAACCAAAGTTCTATAACTGAGACCTCAGAGACATCCTCTCTGGGGAAACGAAGAGCTGGGGAAACAAGTGTTCTAGACATAAGAAAGAAGACAGGCTCGGCATGTTTGAAGCACTGAAAAAATGAGGTAGGCCTGGAGCACAATGAGTAAGGAAAAGTACTAAGAAATGAGGTTGAAAAAGTGGACAGAGGCCAAATCCAGTATAGTCTTGACCACTAAAAGTATATAATTCCCATAAAGTCCTTTTTTATCAACATGGCCCAATAAACTGAGCCATTTATGCAAATATCTCATGTGTACATTATCAAAAGTAGGACACTTCCAACTTTCTACCTTAGCAATGCCACCACTAAAAAATAACTGGGAGGATCCTATGCAATGCCGCTAGACATATAATTCTTAAGAAACTTATCTAAACAAAGTCATCATTTATGTTTGGTAAATCAAATAGAAAAAAAAACCCTGTAAATAAAACTAACAGAATTACAGAATATGAATAGAAAAAAACACTGAAGTTTTTAACAGAGGAAATATCAGTTCATTCAGCAAATATTTATCAAGCACCTACTATGTACCAGGCATGTTCTAAGCATGAGAGATACATCAATGAATAAATCAATGAAAATTTAAGCAATAACTAAACAGAAGATTTAACTGTAGAAGAATCATAATAAATACCAGAACTGAACTTGAACTTATGTCTCAGCATTTTCTGAAACAGGAGTTATGGACCTTAGTCAAGCATACCTGTCAGAAAGCAAACTTACCAAGGAATTCTTAATCACTTCACTTCTATAAAATTCTGGAAAAGAAGAAAAAAAAACAATAAGTGATATGAAAGAAAATAAGCTCATTAACTTTTTTTTTTTAAGATTTTATTTATTTGACACAGAGAGAGCGACAGCAAGAGAGGGAACACAAGCAGCGGGAGTGGAAGAGGGAGAAGCAGGCTTCCCGCTGAGCAGGGAGCCCGATGTGGGTCTCGATCCCAGGACCCTGGGATCATGACCTGAGTTGAAGACAGACACTTAACGACTGAGCCACCCAGGCACCCCTAAGCTCATTAACTCTTAATCCTGTAAATTTTTTAATATATGTTCCAGTATAATATTTAAAACATTTTCAAGGGATCTATTTTCTCTGTATCTTTATCTGCAAAAAAAAAATTAAAATTAAAATTAAATAAAAGGGTCTTAAAGGAAAAATCTTAATAAAGAAAGGTCAAAACCTGTTAAGATTTAATTTAGTAAATTTTACCCCAGATTCAAATTTGAGCCCTTAAAAATTTAGACTTTCTTCTCTCCCGCCTTACTGCCACTCTACAAAAACTGATTTCATATGCTCTGTTTTTCTCAAACATCTTTAATGATTATCCACTGTAGATAATCCACTGTGGAATGGACACTGATCTAGCAACCACATAACCTAAGTTCTAGTTCTACCGTCATTAGCATTCTGTCTCTTTCATTTCCTTGGGCCCATTTTTCATTAGACAACTTAAAGAATTAGACTAAGTAAGCAAAGGTCCTCTGTAAGCATTAAAATTTCATGATTCTATTGACCTTCATGTATATTGTAAATGTTACAAACCTAAAGACATAATCAAAAGAGAGAGGCAGACAAACACTGCCTCTGCTGACCCTGATGAAGTCACCATCATGATGCTCTGTCTCTGCAGTCTACATGGACCCTTGTATCCTTGTGTTGCTATAAGACAAATTTCCCAGGTGTGATGCATGGACCACTGGTACTTGACATAATGTTAAGTGATACATGGACACACTTTATTTTCTTCTTATATATTTAAATTTACGTCTCATATATTCCTCAACCCCTAATTGTAAGCTCTGAAAAGACAGAAGCATTTGTTTTATCCAACTGCTGCATCCTCAGCACGTAAAACCATTCCTGGCACAGAATAGACACTCAATAAATACTTTTTAATTGAATGAACTATTTTACTTAGACATAAGTTTAAAAGTAATGAATTTAAGGGGTGCCTAGGTGGCTTACTCAGTTGAGCATTCGACTTTTAATTTCGGCTCAGGTCATGATCTCAGGGTCATGAGATGGAGCCCCGAGTTGGGCTCTGTGCTCAGCAGGGAGTCTGCTTGAGATTCTTTCCCTCTGCCCCTCCCCTTGCACGCACACGTGCACACATGCACAGTTTCTCTCTCAAATAAATAAATCTTTAAAAAATTTTAAAAATAATGAACTTAAAAATATATATTAAGTATGTAATGGTATAGATGAAACTCAAATATAGTGAAACATATCAAAGTCTACTAACAACTAAAGCAAAGGAATAGTCAGGCAATAAATGAAAAGTAGGCCTAAACATCAAACTCTTATGGGAAAGCTCCTTAGGTTAAAGCACTTTTGATAAACATACTATCTATATTACTCTTTGTTTGTCTTTCTTAAAAAAAAAAAAAAAAGATATGGATAATTATTTTGTGGAGAGATAGTCACTATGTATTAAGTTAAAAAAAGGTTCTAAGAATTTACAACAGGATCCAAATTTTTCTAATTATGTTAATAATGTTTAGGTGATAAGGTGATAGGAGTAGGCTACTAACTTTTATTTTCTACTTGGCAGTTTCCTATTTTTCTATTTTGAACAATTATTTGAAATAAAAAAAGGGATAATTCTAATTGTTTTTAAAAGGACCCTCTGGTGAACATTTAGGTTACTGGTAATTTTTAGATATTTCAAGTAATGTTATAAATAAACAATCATTTAGAGATATATATCCTAGGCACTTGCATCTATAAGATAAACATTTAGAAGTAAAATGCAAGATAAAAGGAAAAATACAGTTTGAATTTGGTAGATACCGCCATATTGTTCTATAAAAGTGTTGTATCAATTTACAATCCCACTTATGAAAATACCTGTTTTCCCAACACTGGCAACCTTAAGTACTATTCTTTTCATTTTTTCCCAAATGATTAACCAATTATTCCAACCATAAATTAACTATAAAAACGTTTGTGTGTAGGGGTGTGTGTGTGTGTGTGTGATGTGTGTATTCTAATTTATATGTACCATGTTTATTTTTAGGGGAAAAAAAAACCTAGAAGAAAAAAATTGTTTTTTATTTCAAAGTACTTTCACTTTATACAAAAAAAAAAATTTGTATTGTTTGAATTTTTTGCAAGCATGTATTACTTTAAAAGCAGTGGAAAAAAACAGATATTCCTCTTTTCTTTAGAAAGAGAAAATTCCTCAGTTTAATCTGCAGTGTCTAAATTAAACAGTTCCCAAAATATGTTATCTTCAGCTCTAAGAAGATGACAAGTATCATTATTTCTTCCAAAACCGTGCTGACTGAATGACTGTATGTATAAATAAAATTAAACAATCTGCGTTCTCCACTAGACCTTCAAAAGAGACCTGCTAATTTAAATGGAAAGAGTTCCACAAAAAAGCCATACAAGAAATCATGGAGTCTGAGGTAATTTCAAACATGCTAAACATGGGCCTACACTGTCCACCATTCTGTTACATCTAAAATATTGTCAAAATTAGGGGCGCCTGGGTGGCTCAGTTGTTAAGCGTCTGCCTTCAGCTCAGGTCATGATCCCAGGGTCCTGGGATTGAGCCCCGCATCGGCCTCCCTGCTCAGCGGGAAGCCTGCTTCTTCCTCTCCCACTCCCCCTGTTTGTGTTCCCCCTCTCGCTGTGTCTCTCTCTGTCAAATACATAAATAAATAAATAAAATATTGTCAAAATTAGCAGCATGATACAAAACATAATAGTGAATGTAGGAGAATTTAGAGTCAAAAAATAGTTCCACTCCCCAATCCACCTATGATCTTCACCCTGGACAAGTCAGTTAACCTTTTGGGTCACACAGTTTACCTTTCAGAGGATAATGACAAATGGAAAATAACATGGTTATTGTGAGGCTCAAATGAAATAGTGAATTAAAAACACTTTATAAACTAATTTTTATTAACACAGTACTATTAATTTTTATTCAATTTAAGCAAAACTATTTGACAAGTAAATTTTCAAGAAGATACCACCCAAGACCTATTTCTACATGAAAGGGCCCATTAGATACAAATGCTTCTCTATCCATACTAAGTAAGACCTAGAAACACAAAGCAATCAGAGATTGCAGAGCATGGTTTCAGTGGCATGTTTTGGCTGTTAGGCAGCATTCCATTCATTTAACAAATGCTTTTTTAGTACCTCAACCTCACTCATAAAACAAGAAATACAAACTTAAACTATACTATAAAACTATTTTTCACCTATCAAATTGGCAAAAATTCAAAAGTTTGATTGCACAGTCTGTTGGTGAGCCTGTGGGAGAAAAGGCACTCATACCTAGCAAGTGGGAATGTAAATAAAGACAATTTTGCAATATCTACCAAAACCATAAGTACACATCCTTTGTACTTCCACTTCTTGGAAATTTACCCCATAGCTATATTAGCACTCATACAAAATAATGTACTTATGAAGTTATTCAAAGCAGTACTGTGTGCATAACAAGACTAGAATAACCTAGATGCCTACCAAGAGAAGCCAGTTAAATAAATCATGGCACAACTATTTAATGCAAAACTATGCAGAAAAAAAAAATTAGGGAAGCTGTCTATGGAAAAACATCTAAGACATTTTAGGTGAAAAATGCAAGGCACAGAAATATATAGTTTGGTACTATTTTTACTTGTATTTGCATAAAGAATTCAGAAAAGAGAAACAAGAACAATGGTTATTAGGGTGGGGTAAAAAACTAGGGAGATGGGACAGGTGAAAGATTTTAAACCTTTATATATATTTTGAACCATGACTGCATTAGCTATTCAAAAAATTAAATGAAAAAAAATATGAGGGCTTAATGATGTGCCAAGCATTGTTCCAAGTGCAGTGAACGAAACCTAAAATTTTCTGGATTATACAGAGTTCATCTTCTGATGTATTCAAAATAACTGGTTGGCATTCTGGGCACTCACATTTCATGGGTGAAAAAAGAACTATGACTGAAGAACAAACCTGATTTTATAAAAATTTCAAGTTTAAGAGGAAACCACAATTAGAACTTAGCTCTTCATCCATTAACACAAGGCTTTGTTCTCTGGGGGTGTGATAACTTTGATCTGAACTACCTAACAAAGTAGGCAATGTCCTAAGAGCACTAAAAGATGTCAAAAGTCAAAAAAAAAAATCTCACACATAACTTCTTAGGATCTGCTGTGAATTCAGCCAAAATAAAAGAATAACTTAGAGATCAGTATTTCAAATATTCTCCCAATTAAAAAAAAAAAAAACTTTCTTTTATAACTAAGAAATAGGGGTGCCTGGGTGGTTCAGTCAGTTAGGCATCTGCCTTTGGCTCAGGTCATGATCTCCGAGCCCCGCATCAGGCTCCTTGCTCAGCGGAGAATCTGCTTCTCTTTCTCTCTCCCTCTGCCCCTCCCCACCACTCATATTCTCTCTCTCTCTCTCAAATAAATAAATCTTTAAAAATAAGACCAAACAGGTGGTACAGGTTTTGTGGGAAGAGCCAACTGGCCCTCTATCATGGTCATCCTACACCAAGAGCCACCTAATGATCATGAAATGAATATTCGTGTTTGTCATCACAGGTCCAACAAGAGAAGGTGGATTAACTAGGCTTATTAAGGAAACAGCTTCCTGGCTCCTCCTATGGTAGTTAAAAGTTAAAAAGCCCAACATGTGGGCCCACAAGAAGACCATAAATAGACTCCATTCAACCATGAGATTTTGGAGTAGGAGGAAGTCTCAGAAATCATCAATTCTAGAGATAAATTCACCAAAGCTCCCAGGACGAACTAAATGCCCTAGCCCCAGGGCTTGCCAGTTAGTGACAGACTCAACACCACTTGCAGAGACTGTACTTCCCTGTGGTACACCAGCCATTCCCTTACTTTACCAATGACCGTTTCACTGCGAGAACTTTAAGAAGCAGTCTGTAACTTCTAAACTCAAGGTGTACTCTGAGCTAGAAGAAGACAAAAAATAAGCCAAAAAAGTCACTTTGTTTCCATCATATCTCTTAGACAACTTTTTATAAGATGGTCATCAACCAGTCCCATGATTACTCTCTTCTTTGATTGTTAACATTACAAATTACCAAATGCCTAAAAGGTGCTGCCAAGTACTATGTTAATTATTATTATCAAAGATAACACTGGAGCAACAACATAGAAGTTTTATGAAGATAATCAAGCGCTGATTATATAGAAAACTATCAAAAATTTTAAAACACTCGGGGTGCCTGGGTGGCTCAGTCAGTTAAGCATCCAGCTTAGTTTCAGCTTAGATCATGGTCTCGGGGTCATGGGATGGAGCCCCCATGGGGCTCTGCACTCAGTGGGAAGTCTGCTTCTCTCCCTCTCTCTTACCCTCTGCCCCTCTCCCGCCATTAAGATGGATAAATAAATATTAAAAAAAAAATTTTTTTAAACACTCTGGCATGGGTCACATGTCTGGCTCAGTCGGTAGAGCATGTGACTCTTGAGCTTGGGGTCGTTTCAAGCCCCACACTGGGTGCAGAGATTACTTAAAAATTTAAAAAAAAAAAAAGTTTTTAATCTAAAAAATAAAATAAAACACTCTAGCATTGTCATATACTGCTAGTGATAAAATCTGAGCAGTACATCAAATGTATTAAGGTCTGCAAAAATGCTTATACCTTAAGACAAACAATGACTGTTTCATTTTCCTTCAGCACACATAGGAAGACAACATATCCCGGTCCCCTTTCCATCTAAAAAGGATGACACTACTGATTTATGGCCAATGGAATGTTATAGAATTGATATAGGCCATTTCTGTTTAAAAAAAAAATCTCCCTCAAATAATCCTTCTCTCTTGCCAAAAGTCATATAATGACGATAGCCGCATTCCAAAATAGAAGCCGGGACACCTGAGTCACTGCTTAGAGGACAGCTGCCAAGACTATGCCTGATAAAGAACACCTGCACTGGACTTAGTGTAAGAAATTTATTATGTTACGCCACTGAGATTTGCAGTATTTGTTATAGTAGCTAGCATTAATCATTCAGATTAATATAGTGTTTTAAGAATATGCAATGGTTACAATGAAAAATAAGAATGAAATAAAATTATATGAAAATGCAGAATTCAGAGTCCTTTTTTTCATCCTTAAAAATTATTTTAATGCTATTTACATTATGGTGGGGGCTCTACCCTATATAATTCCTGAATGAATCTTTTAATGAGCATATACTGGTATTGAAATTAAAAAAACAAAAAAGGTGTTAAATGACTACTGCTTTAATAATGGTCTTTAAAAGCAATTAAAACCAGGGGCGCCTGGGTGGCTCAGTGGTTAAGTATCTGCCTTCAGCTCAGGTCATGATCGCAGCGTCCTGGGATCAAGCCCCACGTTCTTGGGCTCCCTGCACATCAGGGAGTCTGCTTTCCTTTCCTTATACCCCTCCTCCGTTCATGCTCTCTCTCCCTCTCTCAAATAAATAAAATCTTCTAAAAAAAAAAAAAAGTAATTAAAACCAAAAAGGTAAAATGTCATTTGAATTTTTCATCTTTGCCACAGGACAAAAATCAAATAAGCCCTTAGTACCTCTAATTAAAATACCACTTTTTGTTTATATAAATAGATCTTCAATCACATTTTACCAAGTGTTATCACTTTATCTCAGTTGTTCCTCATAAAAATCTGTCTTGCCAACTTCATAAGGCATCATTATCTCCTCTTTACAAATGGGAAAAGTGAGGTTCAAAAAGCCATGATCTTTGTCCAGCATCACACAGCTAGCCCTACTATCTATTTTCAAACCTAATTCAGTATTTCCGCCATATACCCTGTTTGTTCCCTTGTACCACCCAACGCAGGTCAAGTGATTACATCCAAGTGCCTTTCATCCAATATGTATTCAAAAGAGGCTTGTGATTTTGAATCAAATATTTATTTGGTCTACTCTCAGAATTGCCACTTATGGAACAGTCCACAGTACATGTGCAAATGAATTCAAGGAAACCATGCCATTCTTCTAAAAGTAACCCCATATATACACAAGGAATTACAGATATGAGAAGACATAAACTGGTTCCAATTTTACCATAATATTTTAAAAATTAATTATGTTTAAAAAAAATAAATTAGTACGTATACTGGACTCATATATCTATTTTAATGATAGCTACTAGAATAAAAACATTAATAGCAAACATTCATAAATAAATGATAAATTTACCAATTTAAGAACTATCCAAAAGCCACGTTTCTTTTATATATGATATATGTAACAACTGTTCATGCAATATTTTCAGACAGCATGACAGTTTAGCTTTCCAATAAGCAATAATAGCAAATCAAGAGGCACTGATACTCACTTGTGTTACAAAAGGATAAAAATGAGATGTAACAATCTGTGGGCAAGTCCACAGATTCCCTTACCTTTATATATCTTTTCAGTATTACACAAGTGAAGCGTGAAGTAGGTATCAAGGAGCTGATGGCCATTTCTATTAACAATGTTCCGGGCAGCAATGTTCCGAAGGTGTCTAAGACGTCGCTAAAAAATAACAACAAAAAAGAGGGACACATTCAGCTTTTCCTCCCATAAAATCTTCTGAAAGTTACGATCCAAAAATGAAACACAGGAAGTTGTCCCAGTTATCGATTTGTTGAGCCAGTAACCTTAACCCAGTCTCATATTTATGCCTCAGCATCCCCTCTGTAAAATAGAATTATACCTGCCCAATCTCATTTACAAGGTTATTGTGAGCATGAAATGACAACAGACATGAAGTATTGTCGAAGAGCATAAATATTATGTAAGTACTATATACCTGTACAATAGCATTAGTATTTCCTGGAATATAAACTAAGTAGTAATTTGCTTTCTTCCCTTCAGAAGAATACTAGTAGACATGCAAGTCCATCTCATATCTACAAACAAGCAGTTTTTACATACACACACTCCTGTGGCTAGTATATTCAAGATGCCAGATCATCTGTACAACCAGGAAAAGATGCCAAGCCAAAACATAACACTGGGCACTCCAGCCAGCCAATAACCCAACTGTTGTGAGCTTAAATTAAATCTTCACCTGACCAGCAGCCAACCAATCTTTCTTTTTTTTTTTTTTTAAGATTTTATTTATTTATCTGACAGAGAGAGAGACAGCGAGAGCAGGAACACAAGCAAGGGGAGTGCGAGAGGGATCCAGCTGATCCCAGGACCCTGGGATCATGACCTGAGCCAAAGGCAGACGCTTAACAAATGAGCCACCCAGGCACCCCCCAATCTCTTCTTTCCTGATCAGGCCTTCTTCCCTACAATTTCTCCAACTAAGATGCACAAATCATTTGGAGTCCCAATTGTTGAAAAGGCAAATGCTCCCTAAGCAACAGGAGAAATCAACAAAAATACAAGATAACAAATAGCCTAATAAAAGCATATCAAAAGAGAAGATGTTGTTGGGGCGCCTGGGTGGCTCAGTCGTTAAGCATCTGCCTTCGGCTCAGGTCATGATCCCAGGGTCCTGGGATCGAGCCCCGCATCGGGCTCCCTGCTCCACGGGAAGCCTGCCTCTCCCTCTCCCTCTGCAGCGCCCCCTATTTGTGCTCCTTCTCTCACTGTGTCTCGCTCTGTCAAATAAATAAATAAAATCTTAAAAAAAAAGAGAGAAGATGTTGGCAAAGCTCAAGTCTCAGCACATCAGATTCATTCCCAAAGGCTAATTCCCTGTGTCAGATAATTATTTTCAGGCTTAAAAATAGAAATCAAGTGCTCAGTTTTAAAAAATGCTTAAAGCTTTCCCTTCAGGCTGAAAGACAGCCCAATCTACTGAGGTAAGTCCATCTTCAATTACATATGCAGTCAGCTGGAAAACTACAGTTCTTTCTTTCCATGTGCACAGCAACCTAATCCTTTCTCCCAATCTAGAAATTAAGATTCTTTGAGAGAAGTTATTGTCTAATAAATTTGTTCAATACTCTAAGTATGAAAAGGCCCAAAGATATTTGCAAAAAGTTCCTCAGACTGGGGCGCCTGGGTGGCTCAGTGGGTTAAGCGTCTGCCTTCGGCTCAGGTCATGATCTCAGGGTCCTGGGATGGAGCCCTGCATGGGGCTCCCTGCTCAGTGGAGAGTCCACTTCTCCATCGCCCTCTGCCCCTCCCCCCGCTCATGCTCACACGCTCTCTCTCTCAAATAAATAAAATCTTTTAAAAAATAAAAAGTTCTTGGGCGCCTGAGTGGCTCAGTTGGTTAAGCGACTGCCTTCGGCTCAGGTCATGATCCTGGAGTCCAGGGATCGAGTCCCCATTCGGCTCCCTGCTCAGCAGGGAGTCTGCTTCTCCCTCTGACCCTCCTACCTCTCATGCTCTCTGTCTCTCATTCTTTCGCTCTCAAATAAATAAAAACTTTAAAAAAAATTAAAAAAATAAAAAGTTCTTAGGACTTATTCTAAAAGACTCATTTTTACACAATCTGCCAATGGTTTCCATTTCATACCCTGGATTACAGCAACTCTCTCTTCCTCCTATATATTTTTCATTAGCCCTCTCAATCAAGATTTTAAGTTAACAGGAAGCACTAACCACATCTATTTTGCTGTAAGATTACAATCTTGGTTCTCTGTTCAAAGACCCGAAAATATTACCCAAAGCCTCTAGAATAAAGTACAAACTTGCCCTATTGCTTTCAAAGCCCTGTACAATCTGACCTCTCCACATCCTATCTTTACTTCTCATTAGATCTTCTACATACCCAACCCCTCAGTCACACATGAATGCTTAAGGTTCCATGAAAAAGATCATGCACGTTCCCAGCCCTAGGCCTTTGCTAACGCTAGCTCCTCAACCTAGAATACCATTCTCTCTCTTTTTTTTTAAGATTTTATTTATTTTGAGAGAGAATGAGAGCGAGAGAGCATGAGCAGAGGGGAGGGGCATAGGGAGAGGGAGAAGCAGACATCCCTCTGAGCAGGGAGCCCTATGCGGAATTCGATCCCAGGACTCTGGGATCATGCCCTGAGCCTAAGGCAGACACTTAACCGACTGAGCCACCCAGGCGCCCTAGAATACCATTCTCTTAAAGGAGATCCTATTTCTACTTCAAAGTTTAGGAGAGAAGACTTCTCCTTCCTTTGTCTCTAACTGAAATTAGTTGCTCCTTTATTTGAACAAGTAAGAACTTTGTTTCTATGTCTCCCATAGCACTTATTTCATTTAACCTAGTCTTATTAATTGATTAGTTATCTTCCCTATTAATCTAGGAGGAAATGACTTGATAACAGAGACCATTACCATCACTACACTGTCAGCACTTATTAAATGCTTAACATGTGCCATGCTCTGTACTAAACACTTCATACATATGATCTTATTTAATCCTCTTAACAACCCTATGATGTAAGGTTTTACTCATTATCATTATTCATCTCTTTATCCCAACATTCCTACATAACCAAATACAAAACAGTAAATAATAAATGGGCAGTATATCTCAAAAGAAGGAAGGTAAGAAAGCAGAAGGAAAGCAAGGGGTTATACCTATGTATGTGGATATATGTAATACGCTTACATCATACACACACACACACACACACACACACATATGATACAGTTTGGTCTTTACACTCCCCTATTGCCACAGAGGGCAGAGTGAGCAATGATCTATCCTTCAACACAATAATTTTATGACAAATATAATAATAATGGAACAGACTCCTTACGAAGCAATGTGCAAAGCTTGGCCAGAGATGTAATCTATAATTGATGCATAGATATTACTGAAGAGATCTTTCCACTATCTAGGAAGTTAGCACAACCAGCTCCAAGACACCTTCTGCCTCCAACCTCTACAATTCTAAAATCAGCAGTGGAGTCTACAAACATTCATCCGAGTGGATTACCAATGTATCACTATTGTTTCCGTGCTCCTTCCACTAAGTGGGTACAACAGAACTGACCACATCAGGACATTTTATAAGAAAGTTTACAAAAAACAAAACAAAACAAAAAACCACACACACAAACAAAAAACAAAAACCTCCCCCACAAATTAACCAACTATACTTAAAGCACTGACTTTGGGTTGTACAACATTTTGCCTTTTCCCCTATTTTATTTATTTCAAAAGCATTAGGGTAAGTATTCTCATTACACCATGATTAATTAAAATCCAAGATGCTCCCAGCAGTTCAAAGGGACAAAGAAAATCAACTCTTTACAGGTAAATTATTGATGTAATCTTGGTGAAAGGCAGTAAATGTACACATGAACCTTCTTGTGCCCTTTGTCTTGGCTTGCTCTTTAATAACATTCATTCTAATTTTATCATAAAGCTTTTTATTTTTAAAAAATGCTAAACTGTAGTAAAATGGAGTTTACTTCATAATAATGTGCCAATGCTACTTTTTAGTTTTGACACATGAAAAATGGTAATGTGAGATTATATTAGGGGAAACTGAATAAAGGAAATTCTCTGAACATTTTTGCAACTTCTCTGTAAATTTAAAATTATTCCAAAATAAAGTTTATTTTTTTTAAAAGTTATTCCCTTTTTCAGAGTTAGGAGGTGTGTAAGCAGGACAAAAAGAGTGCCAATAAAACACTATTTCACAAGCACTACTTATTAATAAAACTCTTCTTCACTTCCACCATTCACTTCCTTCCTTTAGACTCCCACTTCCTCTCTTCCTCTCCTTCCCCTAAGATTTAATGCAATTATAAAGGAACACTGGAAGGTTAAGACAGAAACTCATAAAAAATTATTAAGTATGGGGGTGAGAACAAGCCGGAGGGAATACAGATAAAAGTAAGACTTCCCTGCTACTTGCTTATATAGTTTTGACTTCTGTACCATATAAATGACTTACATACTCAAAAAGTAAAGTTAAATAAGAAAAAGTTTAAATCAACTAAACCTAGTCCAAAATATAACAGCAACACCAAAAATTACCAGCAGTTTTAAGACATATCATCTACCTTCACCCAAATTATTACCCTATGATCCAAGAAGTACTGAAGAAACCAGAGCAACCTAAAGGATCCTCTCTTGTTCTCAGTTCCCCCAGAAGATCTATACTTGAAAAACAATATGTAATTTTACCTAACATGGAAAAAATACGGTTAGTTCCAGGTTTTGTATATCTTCCCCAACAAGAATATAAATCCTATGAGGAAGAGATTTTGTTTACTTTTTAAAGATTTTGTCAAAGAGAGCCCGCACACACAAGCAGGGGCAGCAGCAGGCAGAGGGAGAAGCAGGCTCCCGCTGAGCAGGGAGCCCGATGCGGGGCTCAATCCCAGGAGCCTGGGATCATGACCTGAGCCGAAGGCAGACGCTTAAAACAACTGAGCCATCCAGGCATCCCAGAGATTTTATTTATAGTTGTATCTCCAGCATCTAGCTGAGTACCTAGCAAATAGCAGGCACACAATAAATGTTTTTTGATTGAATTAATAAATCTCCAGTGAATTAACCCAGTCAAGAATGTCTTGGTATGGGACACCTGGGTGGCTCAGTCAGTCAAGCGTCTATCTTCAGCTCAGGTCATGATCCC